AATATTGGCAATATATTATAGAATAAGTAAACCTAAGTTTTACATGGTATAATCCACCACCAATCAGGTTTAATGTTCAGTTGTAGTCTAAAGCTGGTTTTATACCCCCCCAGTCATGCTATCCCTCCTCACAGCCCAGAATGCCTATCTAATGAATTGTTTTGTAGGCAGCAAGTCAAAATTGTGTCCTAAAACTGAGATTATGAGATTATAGTTTATCCTGTACATAACAAATCCTGTTACTGGGATATCTCACATCCCTTACTCAAACTCTCTTTGGAATAGGGTCTATCTGAATGCCCACAATATGTAGCAGATATGAAGCTATTTTGTTTAATAGCATCCTTAGAAAACTACACTGTATTTTCATGAGCATAGAACAAGCAATATTATAAATAGTATTTCTTCCAGTTCTCTAAATTAGGGATAAAAAAGGGGTCCTTGCATGTCCTTCTGAAGAGTTCTACTCTGAATCTTTCCTGGCTCAACAGGAAAATGAGCACTTTTCCTTCTTTATTTTTAAACCTATGACATGGCAAAACATCCCCCAGAAACAAATGCCACTGCCTGGACCTTCCTACACTACCTTATTTTCAGCAGAAACGTTTAAGCATCCTGTTCATTTGTAAAGCTTCAATCTGAGGTCAACATTGCTTTCCTTGACCCATCCATTCTCTAAAGGTGGAGGGAAAAAAATAACTGCTGGTGTCCACAATCTGCCAGGTTAATATTTGCCATTCAAAAAGATTAAAAATAATAAAAAAGCAGTGCATACAAATTTAAGAGGTCTAGACAGCATAACACCTGCATAAATAGGCTTTTACAATATTTGACTCTTTGACCTCTATTCAAACCTAAATCAGCTCATTGTCCCTTTTCTCCTGTAATTCTGCCCACATAAATTCAGCCGGCAGTAAGTCTTAATCTACCAATACTAAAATTTGCTTTTATACACGCTGGTGAACTGCAGCTGTGTGCTTTTAAGGCTCATTTCTCAAGAGGAACAAAATATAAAACAAAGAAGAAATCAATATGCAAAAAATATCAAACAGTTACAAGGGTCCAGTTTGCCCAGCTTCCATTTCATTGCTAAAACCAGACAACTCTCATTTTACTCTGTAAAGACCAACTACTTTGTTTTTATTAAAACCTTTGTCAGAAGACTACTAAAGAAATTTGTTCCATATCTGCTTAAATACACATTTTTGCATACTTTTCAGCTTTTGGAGAAATTTTGCTATTTCACTTTAAATAAACTTCATTTAGCTCATTCATTCTCTGATAAAACTCCAGAGCTCACATAAAGGGTACCAATTACCAACAGTTCCCCATTTCTCACTTCCTAAAAAACACCCAGAGGCAGAACTAATTGTACAGTACCCATCTCTAGCGTATGTACCTTTCAGCTTTCAGTGCCACTGTTTCTTGCTGAATATTAAGAAGGGTTTTAAATGTTTCACAGACTCCTGCATCAAGATTTTAAGTTTCCTCAAAGAAGAGCCACACTAACATTCCTGTGTAAGCTAACGTCTTGGCTTTTAAATTCGAGAAATGCACAATACGTTAGCTAAATCCAAGTAACTACATATTCCAAGGACAAAACTGCCCTGGAGAAAGAGACAGCTTTTATCGCCTTATCAACTATAAGCAGTAAATTGAAGTTCATAATCAAGAACCTCGCTTTCCAGCGCTTTCCCCCAAAAAGACAGTTTTAACTTTAATGAAAGGTTTGCTGGTGGGATTAATTTCAGACTTGAAAGTGTCAAATGCACAGGTTACAAAACCTTTAACTGAAAAAAATACTTCCAACAAAAAGCTTTCTGAGCAGGGAAAAACGCAACACTGAAAGGCTAGATCCAATATTACACTCTACTGCTTAGGAGGTAGAGGGAGTTTCTCAAAGGGTAATTTTTCAGCAATCCTTCAGATTATTTAACAGCACACAATTCTGTATAATTACAGAGATACTTCCTGAGAAGTTTAATAAACCCCCTATGATAAACCTCAGTCTTATGCACTGATCTGTATTATGCACATAATCATCACCTCCAAATTTTTTCTAGATGCAACAAACATCAATAACCTATTAACAAGCCACTTACCTTTTCTCTCCCTTAAAATAATTATAAAAAACAAACCAAAACAAAACAAAATCAAAGCTCCCCAGAAAAGAAAACCCACTCAAACAAAGGACACACAAAAACAAACAAAAAAAAAACCCACCAAAAATCAAATAAGCTAACAGGAAATTTATTTCAACTCAGTCATATTTGCTACTGTGTGTATTATTCAGGTACTTACAAACTATATAGACTACTTTTAAAAAATGTTTTAGTAGTACTACATAAGTGAATAATGCACCAGTAAGGACTCTCACTGTAAAAGATTTGTACAAAAAAAGAAAAGCCTTTGTAGAAAGGATAGTGGTTTTTATTGCAGTCTTAGAAAATACGAATTATGAAAGATACAAAATCAACTGTTGTAATTATCTGTTTATTTTACAATCTGTATGCCATCATACTCTTATGGCTTTAAGATAGTCTGTCCAAAGTATTTAAAACATGCTTTAACAAAGTATTTTACAATTTCAATATCGAATATTTCTTTACTGAAAGAAAAAAAAACTCTAAAACATTTACCTGAGAATTCTGTATCATAAAATTGTCATTCATTCTTAACTTTTGCAAGTTGATGATATAGGCGATAGACGTCAACATGCAACTTGTAGGTCTACTCTATTAAATAAATATTTTTAAAATTATTTAGATGCAGCTGGTTAGGCAAAAACCTACCCTCAAACTTCATCAGGTTCTTCATAGGTTTAGAAACATGACATGAATTTTATCACGTCAATGACGGCCATGATTTCTGCACTGGAAGTCCTGCACTGTTTGCGGGGTGGAATTCAGACCCTGGCTGATCACCAGACTGGAGCAGTGGAGCACAACTGGATATTCTGGCCTCTGAATTCGGTAATCACTGACTTTGTTTTCCAACATCCATAGCCAAGTGTGGCAGGGGCTTGGGCCACTGGATATATTTCAGTTCCCAGCCAGTCATACTCCACATGTATGCTCCACCCCTTTATAACAAACATTTAACCCAAGTAATTCCGTTTCAGAGTATGCATACTATTAGGACAATGCTTTAATGTCATCATCCACGTCATTTCAGACTATCACCAGCTTTAGAAGTAATATTACGTACAGACAGTAGAGTGGTTTGGGGCCTTTTTTTTTTTTATTGTTTCTTATTGTTTGCTTTTTAAATAAAATGGAGACTTAGGAACAAAACCCTGTCCAGGGTGGCCGCACAGAGGGAGGCAGCAGGATTAAATTAACCAGACACATACAGACGCTGGAGAAAAAATCCAGAGCATTTCATGAGTAATACATATATAGAATCAACATGTATCAGTGACAGTCATTTAAAAGAATTTAAATCCAATTATCTGAAAATATATCCAAAGCAGTAGAAGTCTCATGATGTCTGCGCCATTGAGTATTTTTGTCTGAATTTCAGTTGCTGCAAGCACTGTGATTTATACAAGCTATGCTCCATTAACATAAAATTTCCCCTTAAAAAAGTAATGATATATTATGAAAATCCCAGGATATCACTAGAGATTTGAATCAACTTTCAAACCCATAGGTGAGGTAGTGTAGTCACTTGTATTACGTGCTGGTTATGAGAAGTACTGCTGAAATTTGTTAGATTTTTAATTTTTGCTTTAAGTAAGTGGCTTAATAGTCTCGACATATTTATTAATGCTATATTACCTATGGGGAGGGAGGAAGAAGAGCCTTGCCAAGAACAAGTTTTGTCTCACTGTAAGATAAAGCTGCAAAGCAGTATTTACAACAGTCCTTTGCTTAGTTGCTGCCTACTGTACATGCACACAAAGACAAAAAGCTAATATACATTCTGAGGTAGGAAATAAAGAATTCCACTGGCTTGTACAAGATTCTTCATGTTTTGTTAAACCAGCAAAAACAAAGTTTTCTGTGGTGAGGTTCAATGCTTATTTCTGATGCGAAAATAACATCTACATAACAAAGCATCATCGGTATACAATACGCATCAACTGCCATGTAAAAATCTAAAAAATGGGGATTACTTTAAGCGGCAGAATTTCTCCTTTGCAAAGTAATAAAGGAAATCTCTTCAGCTCATTTCCTTATTCTTCTTTCCTATATGTTTATACTCATAGCACAAGCCACTGAAAACATACTTTTATGGCTAAATTTGTAGTATCCTGAAGACTAAAATTCTGAAATACACCTTACTGGTCCCAGTGATCAGAAGAAATACATTTGTAACTTACTTTAGGCAATTAGGCACTGAAATCAAAGAATTTGGTGCCTGAATACCTTTATATATATATATATATATATATATATATATATATATATATATATATATATATATAAAATCTCTCCTTAAACTTTTACAATACTTTGATTCCAACTTATTACAAACAGCAGCAAGCTTCAAAGTTCTAGGACAGTAAGTCATAATACAGTAAAGAATTTGAACAAGCATATGGGATTCAGATGCACACTAATCAAAGAATTGCATCAGTTGAAAACTTCTGCCTTTCCCAGTATGTTGTTATACCTCCCGCATTTAGAGGAGAGAGCAGTATGCTGCAGCATCTCTGCTGTTCCAGTTGTCTTAACTACGTACTTGAGTGCTCAGACAAAAGCATATATTCAATAAAGGCTGGCTCTGGTACTGGGATGAGAACAGCAGGAAGCAATGAGCTGTTCCAGAGCACACTTGCCAGAATCTCCTCATACTGTCATGTTATCCTAACTCATCTACAAAATAAACATTTACAGAGCTATGTATGCTTTGTAAGGTTTGTCTACCAGGGGAAAAATATAAATAAATTCTTAAGAGATAAAAATTCCAGGCATAGAAGTCATTGTGCATGAACAGGAGGCTTTTCTTGAGATGCAGAGTGGCATTAGGTACTGTGACATAAATCAGAGTGAATGAAAACTTCCTCACAAATAAAACATCTATGAGCAGTTTATACTTTCCAATGGCTTTCCTGAACTCTCCTTGGCATCACTACACAGAAAAAGCGCCAAGGCTGACACATACAAATTACACTCTAAATTACAGAGATCAAACCCAAAGCTTGCCAAGTAATATAATGACCATGTAAGCGTCAATGTAGTTTCAAAAGATAAAGTTTCATCTTTTCTTTCAGTAAGTTACTTTGCAATAATGCTCAATCTCATTTTTAGTTGCAATGTTGAGATGCTGGCAGTAAAAGGAGAATATATTCACTCATCTGTAGTGCATTTGTCAGTCATTTGCTGACAGAAGTCTGTGATACCACCACTCTGTCCACACTGTTCCACAAGTGTGGCTTTCTCCACTGTTCTCACAGAAACCGGATGCAGTTCTCGTACTTGATCGTATGTTGCATCACACACACTTTTCACAATCTGATAACAAGAACTCTGCTCATTTGTAGGTGTAACACCTGAAAGACCGTCTGCTAATTCTATACATGCTGGCATTGCAAGCTCACTATCAGATGGAGCTGTTCGTTCTCTCTCCGGGAATAAAAATGAAAGCGGGCAATCTGAGGATGAATATTTTGCAAGTATCTGTATTTGCTCATGACTCAAGGCCGCTTCCTTACACACCTGCTGGCAAAGTCCAGTCAGATTCTGCTTTGTCTCACCCAGAGTTGACAAAATGAGGTTTCTTTCCTTCAGCAAGTTCTCCTTCTCATTTTGCTGCAAGAGGAAAAACAACTTTTTAGTCTTTAGGTTTATCTTCCTATCAAAGCTAAAACAAGACAAAGAAATCTGGTCTGCTGAAACAGAAGTAATTTGGCAGTCAGAAGGTAAACAGCTACACAAATGCCTATCAAAAGGACAATCTTAACTTCTCGTGAAACATCATCAACTCAGCTATTTGAAGCGTTTTTTTCAGACACATGATTTTTTTCAGTACTTATGCTGGCAGGCGTAAGAGTGATTTGTAGTTATTGAATAAAATGAAACCTGGCTTCAATCACTATAAATATTCCTGAAACACTAATTCTACAGGATAACACATTGAAACCATTACCACAGGGTCTACAAAATATTAAGCAGAGCAGTCTTCATGTATACTTATATTTTAAAAGTTAAAAATTAGAAAAACAGATGTTACATTTTCACTATTGATACAACTCTCCTAGATTAAAATAAATTCAAGAAACGCCATGTCTACTGTAGAACAAACAATGGAGTTACAAGAAGTTTCTAAAGTAAACAGAAAATAAAGAAAGAAACAGAAAACACTAAAATTGTAAACAAAATATTTTCTCTGGAAATGCAGTTTGGTTCAAAGCACCAATAAGAACACTAGAAATTAAAAAAATTAGAGAAGAGTGACAAAGGAGTGACAGATCAGTGAACTTAAGAGACAAGAACAGAGTTGCCTCTGAGTAACATACTACTGCAACAGGAGAATACCGGCTGAATGCTTGAGTTTTATTTATACAGCTAAAATGCTCAGGAGTGGCAGACACCTCTCAGACATGAAATAAGACTGTCCTAACTCTGAAGGGCTTACACGCTAGCTACATGATGCTAAAGGATTTTCTAAACACAGGGCAGCAAAAGGGATGGCAATTCACTATTGAGCATCAAGTAGAAAAGGCAGCATTCATCAAGAATTGGCTTGTTGGGGGCTTTTTTGTTGTTGTTTTTTGTTTGTTTTGGAGGGGTTTTGCGTGGTGTGGTTTTTTTTGCTTTACTTCACTGTCACAAGTTTTTCCCGAGACTTCTGACACAAACGGCTTAAGATGACAGGACATTAATAACTGAGAGATCTAACGATGGAAACAAGCAACATCTGGAACAAAGATAAAAAGGAAAATAAGGAAATGGTAAAGAAGGACAGGAAGCAAGCAAGACTATAATGAAGCATCTGCAAGAAAAGGACAAAAACAAAACTGTGCCATGACACACACATCCTATAATTGATTAATTGAAAGAGGAGGCAGAGTTCTGAAGTCATACAAAGCTTAAATTTCTTTAAAACTACATAAAACAGACTGTGTGGACCCCTACTGACACGTCAATTCACTCTTGGAAAGTTTTATTATTTTTAAACCTCCTCATGTCTCCTTTTGCAGAGGAAACTCATACTGCAACCCCTACAACTTTTTTGAAAGAACTGATGAACGTTCAGCGGCATTTTGCAAGAGAAGCAGTTGTTGCCAGTCCTTTTTGCCCAAAATCATTAGAAAAAGTGTTTTGCTAATGAACTTCAACTTGTCAGCATACCAGGAACAGCTGTTGCCACATCTAATCTGAAATCACTTTATGTACATTTTGGGTACGTAGAGGCACTTAGCCGTGTATTAGAGACAGACATAATTATCTGCACTGCTGTTTAACACAAACTTCAACATCCAGAAACAGTTATTGCAGCATTTACACTATATTTATTACAATTCTCTGTTCCCATCTGAAGTTGTTGACAGATACATTTAAATGCTATTGTTTTATTTTAACAGCATTATACTAACATTGCAAAGTAACACCAGCTAATTTTGAGGAAATAATGAAACTGAGAGCTCTTCATATTCTTGGGGTGAGGAACGTATTTAGTTCACACACTTCCTTTCCCTGCTACAGTACATATAACAAGATCTCAAATGCATTTCTTGGATCACAGCTTATTGTGTGTCACTCACTGACACATCCTCCTCCTAAGCTACAGAATCTTCAGAGAAATAGTGCTTCTTGAGCCCAGTTGTCCTTTACCCTGTTCCCCCTCACAGATACCCTAATTTTAAAGCTCTGAAGTGAGAAAGTACAAGGAATGTGAATATACACAGGTGCTCTGAAAGAGCTGTTACTAACAAGCAAACACCTTGAGTGGCCCACAGGTATTCTCAAATATGGAACATTAGTGAACAAGAACACACAGGTTCACCTGGAAGATCAATAAGCAAAGACTATAAGGGAGTCAAAAACTACATCATCAGTAGAGATCAAGAGAAATGACCAAACTTAATTATCCTAGGAAAGTTAGATTCAGTACAAAACAGCATTCCCCTTCAATATAAATAGAGCTTAACATAAGACTTTCAGTTTTACAGAATCATTTGGGTGGGGATGTACCTCAACAGGTCCATAGTTCAACGTCCTTCTGAAAATAAAGTCTGCTCCGGGCATGATCAAGCTGAAGCTCTGCTCAGCCATATCACTTAAACTTCCAAGGACAGAGCAGGCACAACCTATGTGGGTAACCTGCTCAATCACCTGCTTGCCCCCACTGGAAAAAAGTGATTGCTTATATCTAGTTGAAACCTCTCATTTTAATTTATGACAATGTATCTTCTTCTGCTGCGAAGTACTACCCCTGGGAAGCCAAAGATCTTACACTCCCCTATGGCTAAACGATCTTGAGGAATTCCCCATAGATATGCGCAGCTAGCTATCAAGTCTCCCCGCAATCATTTCCTCTCCAGGCAAAAGCTCCATTTCCTCTGACCCTCACTACAGGAGTACTCCAAAGCCAACCACCCTGGTAGCCTTCTCCTAACCTTGCTCTAGTTTGCGAATGTACTGATGGCATTGGGAGGGATCAAAACTGGCAAAAGATTCAGTCTTACGTATTTCTCTTTTTATTGCCTTTTAAGAACAAGAAATTCTATTAACATATGGTTGCAGAGAAATCTGGATGCATCAATGTCTCGGCTCCAAACTTGATACAACGGCTAAAAAGGCAAGTGGCTTTCTGAGTTCTACTATATCTTCTGTCTGCAAGGGTCTTACTTTTAAGATTCATGACTCAAGAAACAGTTCACCAGCCCAGGTTGATATGCTACAAGAACAATACTTATACAACTAGCAGTTGCATAACTGTAAACCTGATCATGAGCAGTATCATGAGCTGAAGCACAAAGCAAAGGGAGGGGAAAGAGACAGAAAACAAAACAGAAGGACGATGGGATGGTGGTTTGGGAATGACTCTGTGCAATTAAGCTCAACGCTGACAGCCTTCAGAAACACCATTCACCAAAAACTGTGCTGTGATGCACTTGGAAACAAGTCCGCAGAAGGAAAGACATGTACTTTAAGGCACAGAAAATCCAGAACTGCTATCAAGAAGATGTCTGTTATCATTTAAGACTGACAAAATCTACTGAACTTGAGTGGAAAAAGTAGTAAATGACACCACTCTCCAACTACTGCCAGATATCCAGGCAAGATGCTTAGAGAAAGACTCAAGTCAATAGCAGTGAACTTTCATACATACCAGTTTTTCAATTTCAGATTCGAGATTTTGTATGCAGTCAAGTTTCCTTTTACGACATCGCTGTGCTGCAATTCTATTTTTACTTCGTCTTCGGATATCATGAATACAGTCCAATTGTTCAGGAGTTAATTTATGCATTTTCAGAAATGACTGAAAGTCATTTCTGGAAAGCGAGATAATCCTTTGTGCATTAAATGGCAGTTTTACCTGGAATGCAAGATGCAGTTGTAAGTCAAAGGTGAAATCGATACACACAAACAGGACAATTCAAGTTTTCATTTCAAGCATTCTTTACCACACAAACCTAAATTCCCAAATTCAGAAATAAGAGCAAGCTAATGTAGACATCAGGTGAGGTGGATAAACCCAGAGGTTTCAACTGGATGAGTTCAAGCATAGCTGAAACAGAGTACTTTACACAGTCATACTACATCCTCAAAGCATATTCCAAGTAGGATGAAATCTATCTATATGTGCACCAAGTGATCAGTTGATAAGACTCTAGGAAAACAAGTTATGGTTAGGTGGTGCACAAAACAGGTGTGAAGAATAACTAATAAAGTCTAGAGTTTCCCCTAAGCTGCTATTAATACTGCATCCTACATGCATTTCCCAGAATAACACTGTTTCAGGTGAGATCAGGGCATATACCTCTAATTTTGGGTAGGAAAAGTTCACCTGAAATGGGCATTTACTTAAAATATAGACATTACAATATTTGTCTTGTATTCTCATGCTGGAGAAGAGAGAGAATCAGGCTTTTGCCACTGTCTGTACACTTGATCAACAGAGGCAGGAGCTTCTGAAGCAGATATAGATCATGAAGTCCTGATTAACACTGAAAAACATCTTTACCTTTACAAAATAATTGCCATGTTATAAAGTTGGATACTTCATTTTAATATTTTATTTATTTATTTAATATTTTATTTTAATCCTTACATTTGAGTATACTAAGCTGCAATGTATATTATCTTGCTGCAGTCAAAGGTCTGAATTTAGTTTAAAAAGCAAACCTTTCTGTGTTTGGCTGCCCCTGGTGATTAACAGGCAGAAAAATAACAGTACTGCTCTCAGCGACAATGCCATCTACTTCTTTGTAATGTAAAGACAAGGAATGCATTTAATAAATTCCAGCCTTCTATTTAAGGTCCGGCATTTTGAAAAGAAAATAAAAAACCTAGTGCTTTACAAACAACAGAATTTTCAGGATCCACCACACAGAGAATCACACTGCAATTCTACAGTTTCAAGAACTGCAACAGAAATAATTCTAGGTATATAATAAGATCTTTTTACTTATGTATGGCATCTAAAACATTACCAAAGTAAAGATATAAAGGAAAGTATTAAATAATTTCTGCAGTTGGAAGAACAAATATAACCTCAGTTTTAGAGAAAGCAATACTATTAAAGCACACAGCTACTGAATCCAGCTTGAAAACTTCATTTTTATTTCACAGTAAATATGAAGTATCATTTATCTCCCAACTTCTCTCCACAACTCAGGATAAGCCCAAGAAAACTGTTAAGTTTCTATAAAACAAAGTTCCAAGAAATTTACAGATTGACTGAAGCAGACAAAAGGAAAAAAAAAAATTCTGATAAAGAACCCCATGCCTTGGTTTAAGACTCGTAACCTTTTCTGGTAAAGCTGCTCCAGAGAAATATCTGAACAGATCTAACATTAAGCATCTACCACTTCAATATCCTACTAAATAATACCTCATAAATCTCCCCAAATGAACAGTGATGTTTCATATAAATCTTTGGATGGTTAAAGTTTCATTTCCCAGACTTTTAAAACAACAAACCACCAAAACAAGCAACAACACATGAAGCTCAGAATTACGCTTTTGAATAGGGCCTTAAGAGACAGGGAAGCAAAGGATACAACAGGATGTTCTTACCTCACATTCTTGTTCTCTTGCTGAACAGGATTCACTATCTCCCTCAGTGTCAGTTTCCGAATCCTCTCCCAAACTTATCACGTAATTGTAGGGACACTGTTCTTGTTGCTGTCCCTGAGCACAATCTGCACTGCTTATTTCAGGGCTGTTGGAGCATCCTTCAGTACTAAGGTTGCTTATAAAAGGACAGTTGACAGAATTTAATGTTGTAAAAGTTCGTTGAGAGCAAGGTTCAGGGCTTTCACTGATCCTGATACCCAGCCATGGGCACTCTGTTTTTTTCCCTGAATATGCTGGCTCCAAGCTCTCTTGTGGAGCTGCAGGTGGTAAATGTATTTGACAGGCTTCTGTGCTATAAATATCACTCCAAAATCCTTTTGCTAGATGTTCTGCTACCTCTCTCTCCACACTGCTTCGATCACCAGCTGATGTAATGTTAGTGGCTTCCCTAGGGCACAAATCCACCTTTGCAAGTGTGTCATCTTGACTTTCAATTTTGTCATTCCCAACTCTAGTACCTGATACAGTTTTATCAGCCAAGACTGTGTTTTGCATACTACTGAAATTCAAGTTACCATATTGCTCACAAGTATGTAAAAAAGATGCAGAATTGAGTCCATGAGGTGCAGTAGAGTTTTGGGGGAGAGCAGCAAGATCCATTTTCTCCACAGGACATGACGCAATCTGAGTCACAGAATCTCTCTTTGACTCTCCCTTTTTCTCAAGGCCTTCCTCTCCTTCTTCCATTTTTACCTGAGTCTCTTCACATTTTGAGACCAGCTGCATAGGTACACACTCCTGAGCTTTTTGTATGCCATCATTATCAGATATTTCCTTCTCAAGTAAAGTTGCAATTGGCGGCATCTGAATGTCTTTAATACTGGAATTGGACTCTGAAGCATGAACTTTGTCATTTCCAAATGCTTTCTGGAATTTCCTATACTTTGGGCACTGGGAAGATGAGCTGGAAACACTACCCCTTTCTAACTGCACAGGATCACATGCTTGATTTGCATTATCTTGGAGAGCCACTGATGATTTAGCATTTTCATCATCTTTACAGAACTTTGTATCAGGAGTTTGAAAATCTTTTTCTAAAAGTTCTTCTGCTTCATCATCTATTTCTAGGTCTCCATCATCCACATTGGCAATCTTAGGTTTTGCTTTCTGACAACGTTGTGTACAACACTTCTTCCTAGGATATTCCTGCTGATCCAACTTGAAGTCCAAAAATTTGAATTTGAGAAACTGAAAGCAGGACTCTTCAATGTTGCGTACACCCAAAAATTCAGCACATTTGCAAACTTCGGACACATTGTCTTTATTTAAAATAAGTTTAGCTGTGTATGCAAACTGAAGCAAAGGACTAAATCCTTTAAGTGTTACCTATTTAAAAAAGAAAAAAAATTAATATGGCAAATATGGGTTTAAATAAAGAAACACAGAGAACCCAGATTTACCTGTGAGTAAAACGTATGAACAGGACATTACAACACAAAAGCAGTAATTTGTCCCCCACAGAGAAAACCTGTCCATGCTCATTCTGAAACAAATCTTCTGATACAATATTATCCTGAATATTTCGTTCACTGTGTTCACTTTTGTTCACTGTGATCAATCTCTTAATAAAATGTTCTGAAAATACCACACTAACAACTGAAAATATTACACTGTACACTGGAAACCAGTAACTTTACAGAGATATCTTTCAAACTCAAGCTGTACATGAATTACCCTAGAGTAAGATCAAAATGCTGTTGGTATTAACTAGTTCATTTAAAGAGAAATTACTGTTATTTGCTCTGACTTATGCACCGCTGATACAAAAAAAGTTCAAAAAAGCCCAGAATTTGACCACACATGATTTATTACTATAGCTACCTACTCCTTTCTTCCTCCCAATAGATGAAAAGACTTGTACCCAAAACTGTACACCAAAACCAATTATTCTCCATTTAAAGACTCTTTGGAGTAGATAGTTTTAATTCAACGTTTCCATCTGCAGAGCAGTTGTCTAACAGAGACCTCACAGATAAAAACTGTATCATTACAAACTAAACAAGATCATCATCTGTGCATGATGAAATTCCTAAGGACTGAGCCAGAAAGCAGTGAACAGACAAACATATTACAAATTGCATGACACTTCCTTTAGTCTTTCTCTGCAAGTGAAGGATAAACAGTATGTTCACTATTACTACTCAAACTCAAGCTCACATTCTGCTGCCCTCCATTAAAATGAACAGGATTTTATGATGAAGTGCTATATTAAATGTATTAGTTATGCTGAGTCCCTCTGCCAGGAAGATAATTAATTATACATGCAATTTAATTTGGGAATCTGAGGGCTTGTTTTGTTTGGGTTTTTAGTGGTTGGTTGGGGTTTTTTTTAAAGAACACGTAAGACATGAAAGGAAGTTGAAGAGATCTGCACAGAGACAGTTCAGCAAAACTGGTTGTAAACTCTTATGACTTATCTAAAGAATTCTTAAAATAGCACTTGAAATATGCTGTGGAGAGAAAACTACTGATTACACCACCACATTAATTCATCCTTAATAATGTGGGGAAGTAAAGTGTCGCTGGCTATCCTGAAGATAGAACACTAGAAAGACTCTTGGTCTGAGTGACCTAGAAAATACCTCAGGTGATTAAAAAGGTTAAAAAAAAAAAAAAAATCAAGTCAAACTATGTGATCAGTGTTTGCTTCTCTTAAATATGCAGTTTATGAAACTGACTTGTTTCAAAATATCTAGCAGTTCCCAGAAGAGAAGCAGAGAAGCTCAATTTGCTGAGTCTTGAAATGCTTGCAGATCGAATGATTAAAAGATGAGATTCGCTGTTAGTAGTTTTGCCTGTTGCTTCAGCAGATTCAGTTCTTGCCTCAGTAATACTAAGTTACATTAAAAGTCCTCTTAAGTCTACGTTGTAGTAAATATCAGGTTGATTATGCTCCTCCATTTGCTGTGCAAACTCTGCTCCCTTCTAATTCACGTTTATGTCATGGGTTCATTATAAGACTGTTGCTTTGCGCTAGAGATTATTTTTCTCCTCTGCAACTTTGATGTATGTTCCTTATTCTTCAAATATCCTGTATTTTCCATCATCCCAAAGTAAAGTTCTTTTCAACATTAGTTTTACACATCACTAGTTCCCCTATTCTACTCCAAATCATGGCTTTGTGTCCCCAGCATCCTACTTCCCTTCCACATCAGCTTCCATCATTACTTTTCTTTTAATCTGAGACACATTGAGGCTATCAACATATTAAGCCACTAGGGAAAAAAAAAAAAAAAAAAAAGAACACAAAGTTAAGACAGTTAAGTAAAAAAATGACATTATGGTACTATGTTGTAATATAATTTTGTAATATTCATTGATCAGTACAGAATAGCAAACACCACTAAAGTTCTTTAAAAAGACCACTTAAACCCTTTTAGTTTTCAGTTTTCCCTAAAATCAGAAACGACTGTGGTAACAAAGAATCCTTGTGCTTATCTCAGTATGCTACAAGAACAGTGAGGTTAGCTACCTGACTGAAGTACAGGCTTTCTGAACACGTTATCTCTGCATCAGCACTCAACTCAGTCTTGTATATGAGCAAGTCTATAATGTAATCTCCCGTGTCAGCAAAAATATTGATCGATGTGCACCTTTTCTCCAACTTTAATGATTCTTATTGAGTTGCCACCAATTTGCATGTTATTTCTCACCCCCAAAGCTAATAACCATAAACTACCTCCCAGGAAGCCATTGATTATTTAACATTCGACTCTTTGGGTTGTGCTCAACAGCAGCAATAGCCACAGTACTTTGAGGCTCTTCACTTTCCATCTACATGCATATTAAAATCCAGTCACTTGCTTCCCTCATGCCTCTTATAACCTTAACTAAAGGCCAACCTGAATCTTTAAACATCTTGGATGCTCCAGATACATAATAAATTTTCTTTCCTACAGATATCAGGCTCTGCATCATTACCAATGAAGTCCAATCCGATTTAATTGTAAGTATTTTAGGAATAAAAAAAAAGTAATTGGAATACATTTTTTTCAGTCTTAAAAGTAAAAAAATAGTAAAAAAAAAACCACATCAAGCTGATAATGATCAGCGTGTAAAAAGGATGGAATACAGAGCAGAAGAAAACTGTTAACAGTAAGCAAGACATATATATGTTGTATTACTTGAATTTACCAAACCAAATCTTAATGATAGTGATTTCAAGGCATTACTATCATAAGCTTTATTTATTACTCTAAAAGTATTCTCTTTTAAGACTAGTTCTGCAATACCTCTTTACCATTTAATGCTTGTTTTTTGACAAACTTACACGCTTTGAAGCAGGTGCAATTTTAAAAGTAACAGATACTTCATTGAAAATGTCTCTTCTATACATTCCCCAACACTTCGCTTATTCACTTATCTTCAGTCTGGGATATATACTGTGATCTCTCTAATCTTCACTTCAGCCGATAGCAGCTTTACAACTTTGAAATTCATTCCCTTCAGTTCTTAAATCCCTTGCCTTAACTTTTAAGTTAAGCACCAGCCTATTGTAAAACAGAACTGAACAAAACGATTAGAAGCACTGGCAGGTAAAATAGAGAAGGGAGTGACACTCACCTCTTCCGGCAAGGTGATGATAAGATCAGCATCCACTTGGCCCACAATTCTTGAAAGGAAGTAACTGCTGCAAGCTGCAAGCACAGCTTTGTGAGCCCGAAATCGCTGATCTTCCACTAAAATAGTAACATCACAAAGAATATCTTGCTTTCGCTGATCATCAAGACTGAGAAGTACATTGGTACTGTGTACTGAAGATTCATATGCAAAAACCACACTATTCTTCTCACTTAGAGACATTCTGTATCACAAATGGTAGCATAAGTCTCAGTGGAAAGCATGCTTCTGTTCTTCAAATCTGGAGAAAGAAAAAAAGAAGTTGTACACGCGAAAGTCACATCCAACAGGAACCTACTGATACTAAAACACAATAAGCAAACTGTTAAACATGTATTGCCTGTTCTAATTCTTTTTAAAACTAATATTAATACCCAATTTCCTACATGTTAATACATAAATACCTGTTTATGAGCATTTAAAGTACCCAAACCATAATAAGTACATCTTAAAATATTGCCTTAGTAGTCTTTTGGACCAAAAAAAGGAACAGTATTTCATGTGACCTCAGTGACAAGGAACAGATTTTTCCTCAGCAAGTGATTCAGAGTTACTTTACTGTAACACATTAAAAAAAAAAAAAATCTAAGCTTTCATTTAGTTATCAGAATATTTTCAACACTATGAAAACAGAGAAATAGAACGTAGATCCATTAAACCAAAATTCACCAAAATGCTATGTAAGCTTTTTCTGTTTACTGATTCACCTAGCACAGACTAAAATATCTGTGTTCAATCTTCTTTCAAAAGCAATTAGCCTGCTAAACCAATCAGGCATCAGTAAAATACTCATTTTCTCTCTGGTAGGTTGGTGTTTTGTTTTGGTTTTAAACCAGATTAGTTCTCTTATTTTCCACTTGCCTTAATTCTCTAAGGCCACCTTCCTTCCCCCCTGCCCTGCTCATCAGTATTTACCCGTTACAGTTGCTACAAGTTTGCTTTCCTAATGGATCACTATGATTCAGACCACCTGGCAGTGGAATCGCTTCTGTGATAAAGCATCAAAGTACTGAAGTAACAGCATTTATTGGATAATAATCAACAGTAAAAGTTATATATGATGTTAGTAACCTTGAACTAAGCTCATACGTTCTACAGCTATTCCTGAACTCGGTATTTGAAGAAGGATGGGGGGGGGGGGGAAAGCCAGCAAACCTAGGGAGAAGTAAGCCCTCCTAGAGAGGGCTGAGTTCACAGCATTTCCAAGTCTGATCTTTACACTGTATTTCTACATTCCTATTTTATTTGGATTCAGCCTTTCATCCAGTTAAAAGAAAAAGAAAAAAGCCTAATAAAAGTGTCCTCACATCCAAAGCTCAATGAAGAAATCACATAATCAGATTTGGAACTGCCTGAAAGGAAAAATATATTACTACAAAAAATGTTACCTTAAAACAAGCATTTGGATTACAATAGACTATTCTACCCAGGAATTACTGTAACTGGAGACAGCTGCTGACACTCACTTCAGCTGACACAGGAGTACTCAATCACTATATTGCTCAACAGTGGTTGTTATGATATGCCAGCTCCCAACAACAATAAAACCTTAGCCAGTGCAAATCTTCAGTTTTCAAATATGGGAAACTTTCACAACATGGGGAGGGAGGGGACATGGCCATTTTAAAACTGTGGTTAAAAAAACAACCACCCTGCCAGCTATACTCCTCATTACTCACTGAAGTTATATTCATGGCACACAGGCATTTTTAGTCATCTTTTACACAGAAAGAGAGAAGACAAAGATCCACATTTCCACTGAAGTAGTAGCATGGTACCAGTCTGGACTCTGGTAAAATGCATCAGCATCAGCATTATTTGCCATTCCCACTTCCTCATAGAACACAGTACACTCAACCTCACAGTCACCTTTGTCAACTCACAGATCATAACTTGGCAAAGACAAAGAAAGCAAGTCTGTTTCAGGGCATCTGTTCAAATATACAAGATTTTTTATTTTTTATTTAATTAAAGTTCTGAGGGGAATGAAAAGAGAAAAAAAAAGTATGCAAATCAGGTTTCTCCTCACTAAGCAGTAGCTATACTCATGCACTGTTAACCCTAAAAGGCTTATTTTTGGAAACAAAAAAAATTTAAATGTTTTCATATACCCAATGACAAGAGTTGTTTATATAGGAAATATTTAATTTCTAATAATTTTAAATTGGAATTCTGAAGTCATTTTCCATGAGTTATTAATGAAATTCTATTCTTAGAATAGCTTAAAAGTAGTAAGCAGTGGAACGTAAATTATGTATCCCTACTCTATATCCTTAACGTATCATATTCCTCAGATATTACAGCACATGCAGTTTAACAAAGTATGACTCTGTATTTGCTACCAAAAGGTCTTTAAAAAAAAAAAAAAAAAAAGCATCAAAAAGGAACGAAGGACAAAACGTTAAGACTAACTCCAGGCCAGTGGGGAGCACAGGGAAGCATTAAAGATAAGGCCATATTTTGGGGTGAATACTTGGGCAAAACTCACAAGGGTGACTAAAGATAAGCCTTTAAAGGTTCTTTCTTCTTTTAAAGTCCCAAGTACTCCTAACCCTTAGATAAAGAACAAATCACACATGCTGCTTTTGGGTTTTCCCTTATAAAATAATCACTTCCAACATCCAATTCAGCTCATTACACTTTCATAGCATTCCACATGGAAGGCTAAAAAGAACAGCAGTTTGTTTATATTTTCATATACATATACATGCACAGATACATATATATGCAGAGGACAGTCAACCCTCCTTTTCACTTGATCTCTACAAGGCATGCAACATGCTTTCAAAACGGTGCTCAGCCTACAGCACTGAGAGTGAGCTCCCAATGTTATTGGTGCCCAAAAAAAAAAATAAAAAAATAGCTTTCAACACTGAAACACCACCTTCTATTTCTTGAGAAGTGAAAATTAACATTTAACTTGAGCATAGTTTCTTTTAACACTTTACTCTGACAGAACACTGTACTTCCCAATGTGGAGATTTCATCAGCTAAATTATGTCCCCACCATATTTAAACAGAATGCAAGTATTTTTGAGGTATCCAAAATATAAAACATAGAATTTCATGAAGCATTTTGAAATTTAAAAGAACCTTACAAAAAAAAAATTAAAAAATAAATAAAAAAAATCAACAACACACACACCAAAACCAAACAAAAACAAAAATGTAACTACTGACATACATGGTAAAGAAAGAAATCAAAAGGGAAAGAACCAAAAGACTGAAAATGCTGGTGAAAACAAAAAGCATCAAAAAGGAAAGGGAAAACATTACCACTGTAAAAAGCTGTAACACTTCAGAGAAGTGCTAACAGAGGTCAAACTTGTGAATGACTTAATTCTGCTTTCCAGTTATGTAATAAAGGCATGATATACCAGATTTATGGTAGCATTTGTCATGTACCGAAAGCAGTGTGACCAGCAGGCCAAAGGACATGATCCTGCCCCTCTAACTCTGCTCTTGTGAGACCCCACTTGGGAGTACTGTGTGCAGTTCTGGTGTCCCAAACATAAGAAGGGCATGGAGCTGTTGGAATAAGTCCAGAGGAGGACCACGAGGATGATAAGAGGGCTGGAGCACCTCCCATATGAAGACAGGCTGAGAAAGTTGGGGTTGCTGAGTCTAGAGAAAGCTGCGTGGAGACCTCATAGCAGCTTCCAGTATCTGAAGGGGGCCTACAAGGATGCCAGACAGGGACTCTTCATCAGGAACTGTAGTGACAGGACAAGGAGGAATGGGTTTAAACTTAAACAGGGGAAGTTCAGGTTAGATATAAGGAAGTTCTTCTCTGTGAGGATGGTGAGGCACTAGAATAGGTTGTCCAAAGAAGTGATGAAAGCTCTATCCCTGGCAGTGTTTGAGGCCAGGCTGGACAGAGCCTTGGGCAACACGGTCTAGTGTGAGGCACCACTGCCTGTGGCAGGGAGTTTGAAACTAGATGATCTTAAAGTCCTTTCCCAAACCATTCTATGATTCTATGATAGCCAACTAGATTTTCCAGAGCAGTGTGAGAACAAAATACAGTTGTTTATAAATAGATGTTATACACATATCCAGAACAAGATTTACTGTTGCAACAAAGACAAAAAGTACACCTCTTCTGGAAACTGCTTAATTTTATTTCTACTTTAACTCTTCTCCCAGAGGAATCAGATTCTTAAAATTAATTTCATAGAACCACAAAAGAAACAACATGAAAGCTCATTAACCACAAATCATTGGTTAGTGGAAGAAACTAGTACTGTCAGTACAAGAGCATTCCTCAAATTCCTCTCACCTGAAATTCTGCACACTGAATAACCTCAGCCTTTTCAGGAAGTGGAAAAAAAATAAAATAAAAATATAATATAAACACACGTGGTAGTATAAAAATTGCACAAAGGAACATCTGCAGGGGAATGAATCAAATTCTGCTCTGAAAACACAACCAAGCATGTTACTATGAAGTTTCCATTCTTTATCAGACAGTGATTTTGAGATAAAAAATTATTTGCCTAACAGCAAAAATATTTGTTCCTAAATACCAGCTATAAAACTTTATTCTGCTTTATCAAATTGAACTAACTCTTTTTCTCCCTACTAGCACACAATTCAATGGGTAAACTATGCCTAACAGTTACCTGTTATTATACCTTCAGTAAATTTAGACATCTCTACTTTTAACTGACCAGATATGCACCTATTCACTTTCAAACCACATATTATGAAAATTAGCACTGCAACAATATTTAGGAAAGGAATATATATCTGTTTAAGTACATAGTGCGGAGATCAGAGCAAGATGACTATCAAGACTCATGGTGAATACAGATCTCATCCAACACTCATTTTTCCTCATGCATTTGAAGTTATTCATTAGCTTATATTATTAACATGGAGGTAACTGAAAAGTATAAGCGTACAGTAAAACTGTAAAAAAGACTGCAGGTTTGCTCATCTGATTGCTTACAGTTGGTAGCAATTACTGCTCTTTAACTCCTAGCTGACCACAGAATTAAAGAACTTAGTTATGTGATCCAATCCCTTCCCCCACAATCTCTGCTTTAAAGAGCCACTTGGTGCAGATCTTTAGCTAAACCCATTTGATAGTTTTAAAAGAAAAAGTAGTATATTTTTCAAAGATTATAATAATTATGAGAGTAGATAAAGCTGTAAGGAACTGTTGTTGCTAAGCAACAGAAGGAAAATAATAATAGATAATACTACTTTGGAATAGATAGCATAAGAGTAAGAACATAT